TTTTGTCACCAAAGCAAAATGTTTTGTATTCTGTTCTGACTGTTATCAAACATAAATGTTTTTTCTCGCTGTGGATTGGGCTGTTCAATTTGTAACTAATACAATTGTCACTCACATATCGCCGACATCTGGTGGATGGCGTTCCTCGGGCCCATTCTCAGCTATGTATGTATGTTTGTATACCATCCGAAGCACCTAAAGTTGGGAGCAGCCGCCATCACTCACCGCAATTGTGTTGTGTGACAAGTGAATTTGTCACTGGCTGCTCAAGTTGAAACAAAGCCAAGGCCGGGCAACAACAGCTAATGGCTTGTATTTTGCCCGGGAAAAAGGCTTTTGGAGTCGGGGAAAATTTGAATTTATGTCCGGGGCTGGCGCAAGGGGGAAATACTTTCATTTGGAGCTGCCACAAAGCATTTCCGCCTTGTGGCACACTCATAATGCAGAATCTGAGTGGCGTGCGTCTGTGTGTACTCGTCATGTGTGAGTTTCTGACAATGAATGATGTCTTGTATAGACCTTGGTCAACACCAGGAGACACTGTTGGCGAAAAAGCATGTGGCAGGCAGACCATCGTGATGGATGGCCACATATTAGCTGTCTAATGCATACTGCAATTACAAAATATGGTGGTCTATTAGTTAATAGCCTCCGGGAGAGTGTTTGCTGAATATAATGATATTCTTGTAGGCAATTTAGATGCTGTTTAACTCATTGCCGCATATCTTATCTTGAGAAAAAAAAGATAGCATTTAAAGATAATGAAAATAGTTTTGACGTGATGACGGAAGAATATCTTTAACGCATTTTTATTCACCTTTGAATATTTTATTTCGGAAATTAAAAATATCCTCTCTTTAGTTTTCCGCAAGAAAAAAACATGAAAAGCTTTAAGATTTAGGATAGGCAGCAAAGGCAATAAAGGTTAAAAATATTTTATTAACAGACTATAAAACTATCAACGAAAAAACAAAAAAAAATTATCATTTTCCGAAGTTGCCTCCTGTGAGGGTTGAACTCACGGCCTTTGGTTTACGAGACCAACGCTCTACCACTGAGCTAAAGAGGCGATGCGAAGAGCGCCGCCAAATGCCTATACGAGCCAACGCACAAAGAGGTGGGAAAGCAAGGAGAGATAACCAGTAAAAAGGAGAGAGAGAGGGATGAAAACTAGAAGATCGTGACCTCATGTTATTGCAATTAATTATTGTGGAAGCAATAGTTTTGAATTAAAACTTTTAATATAATTACTAATTAGTACTTATACGCACTACATTCAATATTCAATTAAATCATATATTAGTATTGAAAATGTTACCTAATTTAAATATTTAAATATGCTTGGTATTTAATATATCCAAATTAGAAGTCGCACAAGAATATATTGAAAGATAAAGAAACCAAAATTAAATCTTCAATTAACTTGCTTTCAATATTTAATGTAAACATTGTGGGTATGAAATATTCCCAATTATGTTTCATTCAGAAATGAAATTCAACAAGGAGAATTTTTAAATGAAATTCCTGCCATTGAGCATGCGCTTTTTTCGCCGCTCTCTCCACTTTCTCTCTCCTTGCCTTTCTCTCGACGTTCGTTTCGTATGTACCATTTGGCAGCCGCCAACACGTAGCCTCTTTAGCTCAGTGGTAGAGCGTTGGTCTCGTAAACCAAAGGCCGTGAGTTCAACCCTCACAGGAGGCAACTTTGGAAATATACATTTTTTTCTTTTATTTGTTATTTATTTTTATTTTTTTAAGTTTTATAGTGTGTTGATATAGTATTATGTATTTCCATCGCCTTGGTATGCGAGGGGAACCCTATGGTTGATGGTTATCGGTCTGGCATTCCGATTGGCGGAGGAGAAAATTGCGTGAAAGCCATAACTAGTTACGTTGCTCTTCTTGGCCCCAAGTGTTATTTTATGACTGGCGTACTAACGCACACATTGCACTGGTCGGGCGCACGTGTAGGCCTTTAAAACTAACGGCAAATACGAGTTGTAAATAGGGTTTCGGGGTCTGTATGGTGAATGATGCGGTCATTATGGCCATGTATCTGCGTGGGAAGCTGCGCGGGCGAACATATGTGGACGTGCAATCATTATGTACTCTCTCCGCCTGTACATACTTACGCAGGACCCCACATTTGTGTACGCGGCTCTGGTTTGTTTGTGTTTGGCCGATATTAGGCAGAATGTTTGCGACGACATAAAAGACGCAAATAAAAGTAAATTTAAGCAAATTGCAAACATGGCACCAATACGACGCACAGAACTTGACCAGGAACAGGCCGGAACTTATCTTAATTACAATTATCGTGCCTTATTTCAGATAAGGATAAATCAATAAGCCTATTAAGTGGTCGCACTTAATTTATTACGAATTTGGTTTATCTTTGCCAATAAAACTAGACTGGCATTCAGTTTATGGTCTAAGCTAGCTGGCTTTGTGTGCCTGGATGTGAAGCATATGAATATTTCAAGGTATTCGGGTCGATAGGCTAAATGTGCATTGCATTAATTTAAAGGCCAAAGCCTTGAAAGCCTCCTGATTTTTAATTACTCGAGGATTCGGCAAGTCGAGAGCTCAAACGCATTGTTTGGGTAATTATCCAAAAGTTTGATACTTAGCAGGGGGCCTGGGAAATATTTCGGCAGGCTTTTAACCTGGGTTAAATAACCCTTAATTTAATACTCACGTACACTCAGCCCGAGCTATGGTAATTAATGAATTCCCCGACGAAGTATGCCACACGTTTTATGCGGCGCCGCAAGAAAGTTAACCACAAGGCAAGTTAAGCCACAAAAGCTCCAAGTACTGGCATATTCGTCACTAAATGAGATGCCATATTGAGGGGAGCTTTAAATCTCGCCACGACCCATGTTAAATTCGTATTTATGAATTAATAAGACATGCAGATGACACGCCGCCGGTGACGACGAGTCCTTGTGCCTTTTGTTGGACGGCCATAGCCTCCAGCCGAGGACTGGTGACCGAAGGATCGCTTTGCCGCCGCCCTTTTTCTCCTCCAGCTGAGACTAATTGAAAATGACAGGGTGCCGCCTTTCTTCTGTCGCTGAGCACCGGGGAAATGTTAATCAACGGGGCATCTTGGCTATGGCAAAATCAAATCAAGGTAATTTACCGTAAGAGACAAAAAGGCATCATTTCATTTCCCCAGCACAGAAATTGACAATATATCCGCCGCCTTTTCCCTCTGTGCGAGCGAGTGTGTGGGGATTTGTGGTGGGGTACAGAGAGAAAAAGGCGTTAAAAGCATACAATCTAAGCATTCATAAAATATTTAATAATAAATAAATATTCGGAGCATTTTCGCACACTAAAATTATATATTTGGCCTTGAAATAGTTGAACCAGAATACAACCATTCGAAATTCTTGAACAAACTAAGCTAAAACTGTGGACACCAGCTGTGTAAATAACTAGGAAGAGTCTCTATGCTCCCTTTTTATATACTTACAGGGTATTCAAATTCTAGTCAGAAGATTACAATACAATAAAGGAATCATTTCCGACATAACATATCATATCAATTCTCGATCAGCATCAAAAGTCGAATTGATCTAGGAATTTTAACATTAAAATTGTAAACAATTCAACAAAAGTTTTAATTTTAAAATTTTGAATACAATATGCTCTTCATACCCTTATAAATAGAACAGCAAATTGAAATTAGACAATTATTGGCACAATTATACTATTTAAAAAACTTTGATCACAGAAAAATATGGATAGTTTTAGCGATAGCGATTTTTTGACCAATTCGGCATAAAAACAAAAATGTGCTTATGGTGTAAATACAAAACTAATTGATTTATGTTTCGTTGTGTATTTATATCAAATACCCTTCTTGTCTCCCTATAAGTTTTTAAAAACTTCTTAAATATTAAATACCTAGGCCCATTTTATGATTTAGAATTCCCAAACTCCTTTTTTCCAGTGCAGCGAAGTATTTGCTCTGTAATTTATATGCGCACAGCAGATACCAAATTTCGCCGTGGAGTTGGCTGCTGCTATCTTACCTCATTCTGGACCCTCAATTTGCATATTGTGTACATCTTGAGTTCGCACAGTCAATAACCACCACCCATCCCCGACTCGTCCTCGTCCTTCACCCAGATACTTCGGCCATAAAGAGATGGGAAAAAATCCTGGCTTGTTGCTTAGTATGCAGGTGGCATGTCGGCTCATCTCGGGGCGGACTCGTGTTTCAGGACGGGCTTTTAGGCAGTGCATTTCCGATTGGCGCCAACTTTCGTTTCCCTTTTATTGGTATACCTTTCTGAGGCTCTCAAGCACACCCTTCAACACGCACAACACACACACACACACAAAGAGGGAAATTGCGAAAAACAAGAAAGCATTTTCCCTTTTAATTTCAGCATTTCTCAGGCGCCCCCGCACCCAGGCTGTGTTTGTTACCGCCAGGACCTTACAGTCGAGCAGAATGACTGTTGCCTGCTTTGAATTTAAACAAATGAGGAATTGTTGCTGCCGCTTTAATGGTCGCCTTCATTCATCTCCCGACTTTCAGCTATTTATATACGTTTTTGTTCCAGCCAACTTTTGAGGCTGATGTTTGCTCCGCGCTCCCCCGCAAAAGTTTTGTTTGCCATTGTTTGTCCTCTTTTTTTGTTGGTTGGCGGCTGGCTGGGTTGTTTGTTTTATTTTCAATGTATATTTGATTCCTTTATGATTGTGTTTGCATTTTTGTTTTTATTTGTTTAGCCGTCAATTTTAATGAGCTGTCGCGAGTTGAGAGCAGCCAGTTCATAAATATTATATGGCGCTATCAATGTCAGAGAATTCGGCTCGTGAAAAAGATAATTTATTCATTGGATTTAATAATGCAGCAGCAAATGCTGTGCGCCGCTAGAATGTTCTATTAATTAGGGGCAAGCCCAAAAAGGAGGCACCTGCTCACCTGCTAACCCACTCACCTGCGCCCCAATTAAATACTTCAGTGTGGCTTTTGGGTTTCTTTAATTTATTGCTGGGTTTCGCTTTCCGCAAGTTGTACCTCTATGCATACATATATGTTTGCTTAGTCGCACTTTGATAGGCTATTTTAGCAGTTTACTTTGCGCTTCTCTAAATACATTTTACATTTCGTTTAGTTAATTTAAATTAGTTTCAGTTTAATTTAATTAATGATACAATACCTTCGCCACTGCCGCCTCCGTTCGGATTCAATTACATATAATACTAAACATTTATAAGATACTTTCAATATCGACAATTGTTTTAATATTTAATTAGGTATATAAAGATATATGTATATATCGATTCATATATTATCTGTGTAAGAGACCGGAGTCAGTATATAATGGAGCTTAATAGTTTTTTCATGCACTTTACCGCGTTATTGTTGATGACTACATATGCAACTCGCCTCTTTACACACGATTTAAGGAATTTATAGTTTTATACAATGTGTTTTCGTATATTTCATGAGTGCTTTGCCTCGGCATTTTCATTTCAGATTTCCCTCGTCCTAGTGCCCCTTTTATGCAATATAAGTGTTTGTGTTCGCGGACACGGCACGGACACGGACACGGATTCAACAACAAGCCTGCGGAAATGTTGAAAATGCGATGCCAGATATGTCAGCGAAAAACGTTTCAATGAATACGCTCCCAATGTGAATAAAATCAATAATAACAGAGGGGCTCTAAAGTTCAGCAAATTTAGTTTTGTATGTGTCGAGTTTTTGGAAGTCCTTGTGACCATTTGGTTTTTGGCATTTCTCATTACAGCTCTCACTGATAAATCGGAATCGAATTCAGGTAGTTTTTCCGCCAGCTTTTCGCACTTTGCATTGTCAAATGAAGACTGAGTTATGGGTGATGATTGCTTTGCTGGATTGACCAAGAAAACAGCACTGGGAAAATGATTTGCTCTGAACTAGTACCTATTAAATCTTGTAGTAGTGTTTCAGGACCAGATTTTATGGCTCTCAAAAACTGTATTGCCAAATGTGGCGGCCGTAAATGTATTTTTGCCGTGTCAGAGACTCGAGAGTTATGGCAAAAGGGCATATCCTTTGACAGCCGCTGTTGTTTTTCCGGTTTGTATGGTAAATGTATTTCTAATATCGATTTGTGTTCGAGTTTTATGGATTGCGGGCCCTTATATCCCGGCCACATGCTGTCTGCCGTTTCGTTTCCTATTTTCTACATGTATGTATATTCTTTACTTCAAGTTTCGACTTTTATAAGACTAATAAAACTTTAAACGTGGCATCGCTGCCTTGCCTCTACTGGAGAGCTTGAGTTCGGTTGCTTGTGGTATCTGTTGCTACAGTATTTCGTTAGTTTAGTTGTTTTCAAAGAGTAACCCGTATTTCAAATTGTTCAGTGTGATTTCAGTGTGTTTGATTGACCACAGAATAAGCGTTTATCCAGCTTGGTCTTGGCGGAGGTCTCCCCTTGCAGGTTGCTTAATTCGTTTGAATATATTTCATCGACTCGGATCTGTTTAGTGTTATCCACTCCTCGTGTTTACTCTGCACTGGGGCTAATAAAATGTTCGCTTTGTTTTAGTTACCCGCTCTGGCCAATTTGTTTTCACTTGTTTGTCAGCCAGTAAATCCGAATTCGCCTTCCATTCATCAAAGAGCCCGGCGCACAGCCGCCTGGAATATCCAATTTGATGCCCCCCGGATTTATAGTTTAACTCGCAACGCAAAGTGTTCAATCAGCGGGGAAATGCAGGGGGGAGAAGTCAAATCAGCAGATGTTTATGCGCTCTGCCCTCATTAAGTTATCTAAGTCAACAATTTTCTAGACCTTGGTGTGGATTGTACATTTGAAATGTTCCCATTTGTATATCGAGAGGTGGGTTTATAACTCAAACCGTTGTATTCTGCGCGGCCTCCTGATCCCGACTGGATCCCGTAGAGTACTTGGAACACTGAACGAAACATGGGGATACAGAGCTGGGTTGGGAGGTGGTGGTGGTGGGTGGGTGGGGTGGTCTCGAGTGCTTCCTGTGCTGCCTTAATCCCGTATGAAGACGAACTCGTTGTAGTGATTCCAGCGGTTCTCCTCCGTGTCCACGCCTGGCTTGGGCTCCGCGGCCGATCCGGCGGTGCCCGATCCACAGCTGCCGGCCATGCGGTATCCGTGGTCGTGCAGGTTGTCGAAGGCCTGCTCAATAAAGCAGTGCTTCAGGAAGAAGCGCGAGGTGTAGCGGTCCGGGCCGCCGTGGTCCGGATCCCGGGACTCGTTCAGTGTGTCGCCGAAGACCTCGCGGCACTGGGCCACGCGGCCGCAGACCAGGATGCGCGACAGTTTCCGGAACTTGACATCGGCCAGTCCGTCCTTTCCGAACTGGAAGCTGCCACGGTAGCCGATCGTGATGCAGCCGGGCGGGCGGGCGTCCCGCTCGCCGCGGATGCTCTCCAGCATGGCCGTTAGCTTGAAGTGCTCCGCCTCGCGGAGCAGCCGCTGGCGCTCGCGGAATCCCTCCGGCAGGTGCAGCGCCTTGTCGCGCAGGAAGTCCAGGATGTAGCGGAAGAGGACACCGTCGCGGTCTAGGAAGTAGCGACCCTTGCTGTCCTTGGCCAGCGCCTCGCGCCCCTCGCCGAAGAGCTCGGCCAACAGCGTGCCCTTGTCCTGTAGCAGCGTGGCCAGCGTGGTGGTGTAGCTCACGCCGCCGACGTTCAGCTCGATGATTTCCGGCATGCCGCTTTCGCTTTGGAGATCCTCAACGGCCAGTTAATCTACGCACATATGGAGTTGGCCAGGCACACGGACCGGACACTCGCGAGCCTGCTGTAATCGCAGACCACTTCTACTTGGGTTTGTTTACAGCGCTTCCCCTAGACTTTGTCCGCCAAACGCGTCCGCACTCGCTGAGGTCTCGCTTCGAACTGTGGAACTGCGGGAGCTGAGGCTCTTGGCCTGGCCAAAAGGAAGCGCTTTTCACTCGCCCGTTGGTGTACATTTGTGTGTATGCATTGGGGAAGGAGAGCACGAGCATGCGAGCGGAGAGCGCTCTCTCCCGCTCTGTGGCCTGCGCACACGTTGCCTTTGTTTTGATATTGGATATTATTGTTTAACAAGTGGTTAAATTTCAAAAATGTGCACGGATATTTCTGGCATATGCGCTCCAGAAGGGTTGCTCGCCGCTCTTCGCTGCCCGCATGTTATTAATTTGATGAGGGTCCGCAGTGCGTATACGTAATGTCCAATATGCTGGATTACTCTGCTGCCTAATGCGAGTGATGCTGCTTAAATTGTATTCGAATAGCCAGGGGGAGGCGAGGGTGCAAGGACATTAGCATTCAGCTGGCGTAAAGTGTGTTCATTTTTCGGGGACTTTCACCAGGGCAAAGTTCGCAGCCATGTCACAGCAAATTATGGCACATGGCGCATACTTTAAGGCGTCGCACATACTTTATGCCCCGGCATGCCAACTATCCAGCGGTTTTTACCCATATTTTCGGTGGGGCCAAGGGGCAAGGCAGGGAGGCTGTTCCGAGTGGCAACAGGCGCTGACAATTTGACACCGTGACACTGACTTTAACAGGCCGCAGCAGGCAGTGGCACTGGCAGTGGCCCTGCAAATGCAACTGGTTGGGCTGCCTCGGCCAGTTTTTGGCCCTGTGCCAAATGGGCCACTCTCCGCAGGGCTCGCGCCACAGCAGACTGCCTGGCAGCTCACCTGTTTGCTCTTGCTCCTCCTGCCGAGCTCGCCGTTAACATTCCACGGAATATCCTGCGTGCGACTCGCTGCAATTGAATCAACAACAACAGCAGGCAATAGCGAATACGCAGCACTCTGGCCTACTCTCTCTCTCTCTCTCTCTCTCTCTCGCTCTTCATCCCAGTTAGCCCTTTGACTTGGCCGAGAGGCGTTGAAGATACACACAGGGGCACAGGCAAAAAAAAGCTGATTACCACCTGGGTTTTTGTTAAATAAAAATTGTTATTTAGACAATAAAAGATTTTTAACAATATTAAAATTGTTCTTTAACCTTAAGCAATAACATAAACAATTCTTTTGATTTATCTTTATGTTTTAAGGAGATTTCTTATGTACAATAAATATTGGTATCACAACCTTTTGTCATAATAATTAAATAAATAACATCTTATATTGTAAAATCTTTAATCTACAAGGAAATCACAGAAAATAACCCGTTATTACGTTCAAAAAAGGTTCAGAACTTCTATACTTTATAGTTACAGCCTTTTTCTCCTTGTGTAACAGCCTCCGGCTAATTGCAATGAAAGCTTGGCCGTCTTTAGCCTGGAAGTGTGGGCTTTTAGAGCGTTCAACTAGTACAAAACCCTTTGGTTTGGCTGCCCTCTGCTTGCTTGCTTACTCCACTCACTTCCGTTTCCGGCTGTGGTCTCCTCCTTTCCTCTCTCCGTCTGTCTAATGCTGGAGCTTCTTATCAGGAGTCGGCCTTCTCCCATTCCTCGAGGCAGTCGCGGCACTCGCAGCCATGAAATTGCGGTTTTTGGCACGCATTAAGATGGCGCAACACTTTACGCGCCATTACGCGCTGCCTGCATCTGTGTGCGTCACGTTGTGTGTGGTGTGTGAGGGTCTGAGGGTGTGGTGTTTGGGGTGTGAGGTTCCCAGGCTCTCTCTCGTGGGATTCTGTCCATTCCGCCATTCCGGCGGTGCCGTGAATGCTGCCTGTTTGTCTGGCTGACTGGCGCGATTCAAATTGATTTTGTCTGGCGGTAAGACACCCACATACCCACACACCGCACTGGCATCCGTGTGTATCTATGCGCTGGAGCACTTTGTTTTGACAACGCGCCAAATTGTCGTCCCTCACTTAGCCAGAGCCGTTTGCATGCTATTTCTGGTTTGTTTGCATGTTTACCTTTCGAGACTGTCAGTTTCTGGTTTCCCACTTGGGGGAAAGACGGCTTTTAAGGGATCGGTAGGGGTAGTAAGGTAAGCCGCCTAAGCGTTAAGGCGTGAAAGGAGAGAGCCCCTCCAGGCGATGGCCTTTTCGGGCTGCACACACTCTCACAGGTCTGTTATGACCTCGTTGAAGCCATTTAGCAGTCCCGAAATAAACGTTCACATGCCTCAGCCCACGAGTGTCAATCAAGCTTCCAGTGCAAATTGTGCATTTGATTTCCCTCGATAAATGCGGCATTGGCTGAGCAAACAGAATTGGCATGCCCCAGAAAACTCAAAGCCAAAACAAATCAAATCAAATCAAATGAAATCAGCATTGCTTGAGTCAACAAACCTTCTTTCCACAGCCCCTCTCAATGCTAAGCGGTTTTAAAAATATAAACCGCACTGATATACGCTTATCGATGGAAAAGTCAATGACACTTGTTATAATATTATATGTATATAAAGAATATAGATTTCGAAGAATTCAAAGAAGGTTGAAAAGTATACCTTTAACTCAATCAAAAATATTTATACCGAATACAAATTATATTATATTAGCAGAGTCTTGGCCGCGGAATGCATTATGCATTTGGTCAGATAATTTTATCTCTAGCCAGCAATTTATATAAATTATTTTCTACGTATTTTTAAGGGTTTGTGGTGATTGGATGGCACTATAATTTTAATCATATTACAAACTCATTTTCCAGTATTATGTAAAAAGTATTTTATTAATTTTATCACTTTTTGCTTATATTTTAAAATATTTTGTAGTCATAAAGAGTCTGCCTCAAGCACGGCTTATAGATTGCCATATTGTTGAAATGCGTGCCTAAAACGAATTTGCGCGGAACTTTCACTAATTGCCACTAGCTAAGGGCAGCTCTAGGACCTGGCCCAGCACTTATGCAAATGCATAAGTGCCCATGTGGGTAAGTGCATATAACTGCTGCTGTTCGTAAGCGTGTGCATAATGCCAGCGATTTTGAAAGCTTTAAATGCACGCTCAGGCATGCGGCGAGGGCCTCTGCATCTGCATCTGTAGCTGCGTATCCTCAAGATACATTGACGCCGGCACACGGTTATGTAAATGCAAATGCGAGCGCCTAGCTGCTGGGCAATTTAACACCATGCGGGTGGCGAGCTGTAAGGAAAACTATTTAAAAGAATACCCTAACTTTTCCTCATTTCGATTAGAAGAATTCCATTACAAGGACTGACTTATTTTTAAGTGAGTTTTTTTAAGAGTAGCAGAATTACTGCTGCTTTAATCCTCTTCAACAAAGTTACCTCTTGAAGTTTTCCAATTTACGTTCTTACTTTTTATTGCACATTAAAAACTATGTCATCGAATGACTTTAAATCCCAGTGCCCTTCACTTTAGTGAGTAAACTCAAGCACTGGCTTAAGTTCGAGTTGTCAAGCGATCAGGGAATTCTACGAGCTGGCAGGCAGGACTTAAGGTCGTTAATTTTAAATGCGAAGCTCGGGGATAAATGCATCCTGGGCTGCAGCCACGGCAGGTGGCCCGTTGTTGACGGAGACGTTGATTTTATTCACTGCTGACAGCAACAGTTTGCTACAAGCGAACACGCCCATTTCCATTGCATACGACACCCATCCTCCTCCTCCCCCTTCTCCTCGATGGCATTGTGTGTGAAGGACATGCCCGAAAGTATGGAACACAAAAACCTTCCGGCACGACTGCCGGGCTTTATGTGTGCAAGAGTTGCTTTATGTAGCAATTTTTTACATTTCAGCCTCGGCATCATTATTAAAAAAAATAAGAGATGTTCGGGCGGGCCACACGCCGCTTTACATGCTCTAAATGGATTATTCAAAGCCCGGCCCATAAATCGTGCTGGGCCTTCAAAAATCCACAAGTGGAGCGCACGTCCCTGACAAGAGCAATAGGAGGCACCACCATTTGCACCATCTGCACCAGCCACCCAGCATCCCAGCATCCTAGCCACGAGCAGCTGCCCGGCCCGGACCAAATGCAATGAATTTGTTTACAGCCACAGTGGCAGACCCTCCATTCCCTTTCTGCACTTATCGACGCTTGTTGCACGTCCGTGGGGCCACAACAAATTTCGCAGAAAGCTGTTTTCAATCTCTCCACCCATTGCATTCGGCTATTTTCGTTCTCGCCTTATTTATTTATGCTCCCTGCTGTACACTGGCCCATAAAACCCCCTATTATCCGGCGGATATCTCCCATTCAAGGCAACAACTTTGGCAGCACGGATTGAAGGGGAGATAAACTACAGAGTCGGGGAGAGCTTCTCGACTGAATAGCTACAATTTTCAAGGGATATTCTTTAATGATAAATAGTTGTGAACTTTTGAATTGTATTATTAATTAAAAACAATAGAAAGCAATACAAGAAATGTGTATAAAAATAGAAATACCGAATCCAAGACCTGATTCCAAGTCCTTGCCCGAGTCCTTGTTCTGTTCCAGTGTCCAGCTCCATTAGCCTCCGAATTGTATGCTGTGCACGTTTTGTCGGTGTGGCGGATTTATTTTCAAGTTTCTGCACACTCGAACTTTCTGTTCGGATCCATTTCGAGGAGCCGTGTTAAATTGGCGCTAAAAAGGTGGGGCTTATCTAATTAATCCCGCTGCGGAGTACTTCTGGCTCCAATGTAGCTGAAGTGTGATTCGATTACTGAAAGTTTCGGAAACTTTATCGATGGTTAAACACAAACACTTTAATTCATAAAACGAATGGCGTCGGGGGCTAAAAATATTCGTGGCGAATTTATCAGCTGATGCAGCATCAGCGGCAGATTTGTGTTGACCGTATTTTCGTGCACTTTTAGCCATTTTCATTCGCCCTCCCGGTCGCGTCGGACAGCCAGCAGAATTTGCAGAAAAATGTAAATTTAGCAACAAAAACAGCAAACAATTGCGCATTTAATTGGAAATAATTGATGAATTCTTAACACAATCAAAAGCGGTGACAATATTTACGAATCACTGATTACACTTCGCGAAGACATTACAGGCTAAAGATGCCATCCTGGAGAACTAAGGCAGCCAGCAGGAGTTTTCCACTTGGCTTCACCTTATTAGGTTTTCTTGTGGTTTTCTCCGCATTTTGCCAAGGGGAGCGGACAAATGTGGGTGAGTCAAGTGCACTTTTGCAAGGGATTACATAAGCAGCCACGCAAATGCAGCGCCTCACGCAAATGTGTCATGTATTTTTATGCCGCATACGCACCGTGCGCCATCGAGAGGCCGGCGAATTCGCAAAATAAAAATATAAACAGAAGCTGAAAACCAAAACAAAGAGCAAAGCATCTGTGTCACACTCTCTCTGCAGGTCTTATTCACGAGAACACCGAGCCGGATATCGAGAAGATCTTCCACCTGGCCATCAGCAAGGCCAACGAGGAGAACGAGGAGCTGCAGCTGCACGGAGTGTCCGTTGCCATCGAGCCGGGAAACTCGTTCGAGACCTCCAAGAAGCTATGCAAGATGCTGCGGGTGAGTGTTTTAAGGGTAAAAAAATCTCTGGTGCCAAAAATCAAATAGACCCCACTTATACACAGCAAAATCTGGTGGCCGTGTTTGGGCCCACCACTAATTTGGCTGCCCGTCACGCGATGAGTATTTGCGACGCCAAGGAGCTGCCCTTTTTGGACACGCGCTGGGACTTTGGGGCCCAGTTGCCGACCATCAATCTGCATCCGCACCCGGCCGTGGTGGGCGTGGCCCTCCGGGACATGGTGGCGGCCTTGGGCTGGGAGAGCTTCACGGTTATCTACGAGTCGGGGGAGTACCTGGCCACGGTGCGGGAGCTGCTGCAGATGTACGGCACGGCGGGACCCACTGTCACGGTGCGGCGCTACGAGCTGGACCTCAACGGGAACTATCGCAACGTGCTCAGGCGGATCCGCAACGCAGACGACTTCTCCTTCGTGGTGGTGGGCTCCATGGCGACGCTGCCCGAGTTCTTCAAACAGGCCCAGCAGGTGGGCCTGGTGACCAGCGACTACCGGTACATCATAGGCAACCTGGACTGGCACACCATGGACCTGGAGCCCTACCAGCATGCCGGCACCAACATCACGGGTCTGCGTCTGGTTTCCCCCGACAGCGAGCAGGTGCAGGAGGTGGCCAAGGCCCTCTACGAGAGCGAGGAGCCGTTCCAAAACGGTAAATCAAATAACAGGACACGACGGAAGTCCCACCTGAAAGTGTCGTGGCGTGGCCCTGGATCTAGACAATTTATGCCAATCCGAAATCCATTCGCATGAGTGAATTTAAATAATTGAATTGCACTTTCATGGCCCCGACGCGACCGGGGCCCGAAATGATAAATGACGTTATCCTTTATGAACTCCCCCAGTGTCCTGCCCCCTTACCAACAGCATGGCCTTGGTCTACGATGGCGTTCAGCTCCTGGCCGAGACCTACAAGCATGTGAACTTCCGGCCAGTGGCCCTCAGCTGTGGCGATGACAGTGCCTGGGATAAGGGCTACACTCTCGTCAACTACATGAAATCGGTGGGTACAAAGAGCGCTTCGAAAAATTATTATTATTACTATATATTTTTTTTTATTTAGTTCAGAACATTTTAAATTTGCCTTGTTATGTTGGAATAAGCCTTTTCAGCTTGCCATTAGTCACTCAAAAAACCGAATATTATTTATTTTTATTGAAGCTAGTTCACTTTCTCTCTGTGTGCAAAATAACACTCTCTGATTCTGAATAACTCATGCAACGAGTCTCGGTCCGCAGCTAACGCTGAAAGGCCTCACGGGTCCCATTCGCTTCGACTACGAGGGCCTGCGCACGGATTTCGAGCTGGAGGTCATCGAGTTGGCGGTGTCGGGGATGCAGAAGATTGGCCAGTGGAGCGCCGAGGATGGCTTCCAGGAGGACCGGCCAGCCCCGGCGCACTCCTTGGAGCCGGATATGCGTTCGCTGGTGAACAAGAGCTTTGTCGTCATCACGGCCATTGTGAGTGGGTGAACTTTGGCCCTTGGCCTCAACACTTCACTGGCTGACTGGGTCTGTTTTTCCTTGCAGAGTGAACCCTATGGCATGCTGAAGGAGACCGCCGAGAAGCTGGAGGGCAACGATCAGTTTGAGGGCTTCGGCATCGAGCTAATCGACGAGCTGTCCAAGAAGCTCGGCTTCAGCTACACCTTCCGCCTCCAGGTGGACAACAAGTATGGCGGAATCGACCCCAAGACGGGCGAGTGGAACGGCATGCTGCGCGAGATAATGGACAATGTAAGTTTCGGGGACATAAATCTAATCGGCATTCCCTTCTCGGCGGCCATTTAAATCACTCGGCCTGCGAGTCCTTTGTCCCGCTAGTATGAATATTGATTTACATTGTCTGCCCATAAAGGCTGTCATCATCGTTAAGGCAATCGTTTACGCTGCCATAAATAGAATACTGTTTTATGATTGCCTAAAATTAATAGGTTTTGTATATTAACTATTAATTTAATGCCGCTGAGCTTTGTTTTCTAACAATCTATATTATTTTTTCCAATGAAAATATTATTTTTTCCAATGAAATGTTTTAAATTTATGAAATTATACACCAAATAACCGTACTTACTTTTATAAACCCATAATATTGCAGCATATTTCATGTTTATATTTTATTATTGGTTTTCTGAACTGGAATTCCAAGAATCAGAATCCATGATCGTTCTTGGAATTCTGACACATTGATTTAATTATACACGATTTCTTTGAGTGAGAGGTTATCAAGAGCTTTGCATATGCATGTTTTTAATTAGATTTACGTGTTGATGACATTATAATAAGAACAAATGGACTCTAGTGTGGCAACTGCTTTTTTTCATCATTCTTCTTCTGAGTAAAAAGACTATAAATATAGCGGAATCCCAGTTTACCGGCCAAAAATGCAACAACGGTGGAAACAACTCCGCCCTGTCGTGGCACTCCGTCGATTAGTTGAGTTGGAGTATTGTTGTATTCCGCGATGAACTGTTCGAACTCTTGCTTATCGGCCTGGGACTGGGGAACGGCATTGGGGTAACGGCGGTAAAAGTCAATCAGCTGCTGTATATTCCTCTCCCAAGAGACTCGAGTCCCATTGGAACCGTAAAAGGTTTCCAGAATACGATTCCTGTCGGCCTCATATTGAGGATCTCCCAGCGAAAATAGAACGTACAAGATCAACGTTACAAAGCAGCCGAAGTAAACCCTCATTGCTGTATCTGGGAACTGAAGAAGTGAAGCAAGGAGCTTAGCATTTTATAGAAAATCTGAGAGCTTCCTATCTTGATTAATGGGAATTCTCTGTGTTTAATACGACAAATACATTGGTAATAATTTATTTCCCGGGAAAAAGGTCAGCTTGTTGAATTATAATCTAAAGCTCAGGTCAATGTGATTTATGAATTTCAAAGAATTCATCTGATTTGGCTCTGGGCCAAAATAAATGTAGTTCAGGGTCATATTTCCCTGAAAATCGTTCATATTTCAAAATTGATTTCCCGGCCTGTTTGCTTTGTAAATTGAAATGCATAATTGAGAGGTGGTTGCCCAATCAGGCGTATACGCAATATTTACATACTCATTTCTATTAATATATTCATTTCGATGCACGCACAAGTAAATAGAGGTCATTACAAAAACTTTCATATTTGATTAGCGCGCTGACATGGGCATAACTGACCTGACCATGACATCGGAGCGGGAGAGCGGCGTCGACTTTACCATACCCTTTATGAGTCTGGGTGAGTAATGTATACTTATTGAAATACAAAGAAATATACAAACCCCTTTATGGTTCTCAGGAATTGGCATCTTGTTTCGCAAACCCATGAAGGAGCCTCCCAAGCTGTTCTCCTTCATGTCACCCTTCTCCGGCGAAGTCTGGCTCTGGCTGGGCCTGGCCTACATGGGCGTCTCGATCAGCATGTTCGTGCTGGGCAGGCTCTCGCCAGCCGAGTGGGATAATCCTTATCCCTGCATCGAGGAGCCCACAGAGCTGGAAAATCAGTTCAGCTTCGCCAACTGCCTGTGGTTCTCCGTTGGCGCTCTACTGCAGCAGGGCTCCGAGCTGGCCCCCAAGTGCGTATATCCTCGAGTTGAGCTGCTTTAGATATAAAGATTTCGCTCACTTCCCAGGGCCTACTCAACCCGGGCAGTTGCCGCGTCCTGGTGGTTCTTTACGCTGATCCTTGTCTCCTCATACACGGCCAATCTGGCGGCATTTCTCACCGTGGAGACCTTGACGACGCCCATCAACGATGCCGATGATCTGTCGAAGAACAAGGGCGGCGTTAACTATGGCGCCAAGATAGGCGGCAGCACCTTTACCTTCTTCAAGGAGTCCAACTATCCCACCTACCAGCGGATGTACGAGTTCATGCGGGACAATCCGCAGTTCATGACCAACTCCAACCAGGACGGGGTGGACCGCGTGGAGAACACCAACTACGCCTTTCTGATGGAGTCCACCACCATTGAGTACATCACCGAGCGGCGCTGCACGCTCACCCAGGTGGGACCGCTGCTGGACGAGAAGGGCTACGGCATAGCCATGCGGAAGAGTAGATCGCTGTCCCAAATGCTTTCTAAACGCAGATCCTAACGCAATTTCCTTTCAGACTGGCCGTACCGGGACACGCTCAGCCAGGCCGTCCTCGAGATGCAGGAGCAGGGCTTGCTGACCAAGATGAAGACCAAGTGGTGGCAGGAGAAGCGCGGCGGGGGAGCCTGTTCGGTAAGTCTCGACCCTAATCCCAATCTCAGCCAGCTCGTGCATGTGTGGGTGTGTGCAGGACGCGGACGAGGACTCTGGCGCCGTGGCATTGGAGATTAGCAACCTGGGCGGCGTCTTCCTGGTGATGGGCGTGGGCTCCTTCTTTGGTATCTTTGTCTCCCTGCTAGAGATGGTTCTGGGCGTAAAGGAGCGCAGCGACGAGAACAAGGTCAGGACACTTCCAGCCTATCCCTGGCTTCCGATCCGATTAGCTGGCCTGCCCCCATAGCACACACTTCCACAGACATGCACTCTGGTTTTGGTTCCGGTTCCGGTTTGCTAACCGCGAAATCTCCGACTCTGGTCGAAACCCCGCAGGAGGAAGCCGACTCGGATGCCTCCTCGCTGGGCTTTGCCAACCTAGGCGGCGTCTACCTGGTCATGTTCGTGGGAAGCTGTTTCGGCAGCATTTACGGCCTGATTAACTGCGTGGTCAGCATCTTTTTGAGTGCGCGGGAGAACAAGGTAACCACACGGATGGCGCTCTATAAATATTATGGCTGGTGGCCTGTATCGTGACTAAAAATAGCGTCGGAAAGGTCGCCCTAATCTGAATCGAGGACTCCATTTACCAGCTCCCCAAAGCGACAACTCGGAGCCAAAAATACCTAACATTTTACCCTCATAATCTCACATAATCTGGGTTTATATCCGATGAATAATACGAGTTATTTGGTGTCAAAATAAGCCACTAATTGAGTTGTATGTTTGAACACGGATTATAATCAGACACATATTTCCGATGTTTACATGTTGTGTATTCTGTATAACTGTTATAATGTGTTAACTATAAATTCATATCACATATCATACATTCTAACAACCCCTAATTGAAGTTAATTGCCTGCATGACAGCTCTAGAATTCCGCAATCCGTACCTTTGTATACTTCTCATTGCCTTGTCGCTCCTCTTCAGGTGAACTTCAAGACCGAGCTGCTCGACGAGCTGCGCTTCATAATCCAGTGTTCAGGTAACACCAAAGCAGTCAAGTATCCCAAGAATTCATCGCGGTCCAACGCCAGCTCCAAGTCAAAGGGATCATCATTGTCCGTGGACTCACTGCCCGATGACGTCTCAGAAGCTGAGCCAGCTGGCAAGCATAACCAAGCCAAAAAGTGACATAGGTGTGACTTTCTACAGATGAAAATCTAAAATAAACAATAGATGAACTTCAAAGCAATGCATTGTTGCAACTACATATTTAAATTAAAAAAAAAACTGTACTTTCTATAACTCAATAAATTTACAGTCGAGTTTTGTGATTGCAATTAAAAATGTTTTATTTATCCCAGATATTCCCTGCTTGCCGTAACTTCTCTAAAAGCTGAAATACGAAATATTTACTATATATCTTTTTTACTTTGCCAGGCCAATAAAAGACCAAAGTTTGTTCAGAAGATATTTGGAGATGCCATCAATCAGGGCCTGCGACGAACTCTTGGCCAATTTAATTGCATCTGTCTTGACATTATGAGGAATCCAATTTGCCGAGAAGTAATCCGTGAAGCCACCTCCTTGCCTTGGCACACCTTCTACAAGCTTAATCTTCGACTCAAACTCAGCAACGCCAGCATTCAACGCATCCTCCTTTGCGGCATCCGATTCCTCTTGGCCCCTATACTTCTTGTAGATTTCAACGATTTCGAAGGTAATCTGCACCCGGGCAGCGGGATCGGTGGTCTGCTTACTCAGCCTCTCGAGTTCCTGGAGCCTCTGGCGATCCCGATCGATAGCTCCAGCATTTCCTGTGCTGGCCAAGCAGCAGAGCAAAGCCAGGATACAGCTGAAATAGGATATAACTTAGTATTTACATATTTTAAAATATTTTTTTCTCTAATACTTTAGTTGGATAGCGAGGTCCATGTTCCCTTAATTTCCCTTGAGAGATTCTCAACGAAGTGCTATTGAAAGCGAAAAACGCATTGTTTTTTATAGGCAACTTTGCACAGAAGTAAAATATATATTCAGAGATGTACATATGTATGTAGTAAATATACTAATAAATGGGATTTCTTCGAATTCTAGAATTGTGACAGCAACATAATTTTATTGTATTTTAAATCATTAAATTGATAATAAGTAGATTCTAAGAATTTCGTGCAAATAAGATTATACTTTGGCTTGAAAATAACATTTAAAGACCTCTGGCATTCATGCTATAACGCTATATTTCTTAGGTTGTGACTTTTATTACTTTTATATTGAAAGACAAGAAATCTGAAAGAAATAAACAAGGGGGAAAGTTATATATTTTATATCTCTGAGAGCGCTTTAGCATTTAAAATGTATATTCTGAGAACAGACCTCAAATACTTTAATGTGGTTCCTAAGCTGGGTTTTCAACTGCATCCTCTTTAGTTTTTAAGAATTACACATTATATGGTCTCTTTCTTCCATAGCTAAAACTTTAACAATTTCAGAGTGTTTTCATAAATATGTAATATTTTTCTTAGATAAATTTCCACATTCTTACTTTGAAATATTAATATAATCATATAGCGTTATTGATTGGTTTAACCTCCCATAGTAAAAATCTTCAATCTCAATTTGTGCAAGCAAGTCACACCAAAAAAAAAAACAATGTTAAATTTTAATATAAAGCCAAGTCAAAGTAAACTATAAATTAATTGAGCGTAAGACGTTATGAGTAGGATAATGAATCAGATCAGATTACTGACATTACAAAACTTAAGAGTTTACTAAATTGAATGTATCTGAAGCGATGACGCCTATTATAGTAATCTTTGGATGCTTGCTTGCTTGTATTCTTAAAGTGAAATCAAATTCTAAAATCAAATTCCGCTAATGAAGTTAAGTAAATGTTCCGAATAATTTTTTATTGATTTGCCCACAACATCTCACCGCTTTTAAGAAAACGAATGCATGAAATATAATATGAATATTTATTTTATTTTCTTGTCTTGTTTCTGTTGGCTAGACAGTTGTTACAAAATTATGTTCTGTAGGAATTTGGCGATATTTGCAACTATGTTTTTGTTACACAAATTTGTTAAGAAATCGGTAAAGACACGTCCTTGTTTTGAAACTCTTGCTGCGAGCTGAATCCTGGCCTCAAAATCATTTATTAGGGAATTCAACTTAGTCATCCTGCGTCGTTTTCCCCTATACTTCTTGTATATTTCAACGGCTTCGTTGGTGATCTCCAATTGGGCATAGGGATCACTGTTTTGCTCACTCCTCCTCTGCAGTTCCTGTATTTTCTGGCGATCTCGGTCAATAGCGCCAGCATTTCCAGTGCTCGCCAGGCAGCAGAGCAAAGCCAGGACACAGCTGAAATATAATAATTCTTAATATTTGTAAATCCCAAAGAAAGCTTACTAATACCATAGTCTGAGTGCGAGGTCCATGATCACTTAATTTCCCTAGAGTGATTCGTATCAAAGTGCTATTGAAAGAGTGAAACGTTTCTCTTTTATA